GTTTCAACTTGTTAGATGCAGTCAGCTGTGAGCTAAAGTTGAGAGGTGTGTTTTAAACTGTGCCATAATTGTGGCTGACAAAGAGTGCATTCACATGAAATTTTATCAATTCATTGGAGGTGGGTGACTGTGCCACTTCAGATTCCAGCCTTTTATGAAATTTCTTAACAAGAAATGAAACTTGGGCTATGGTTATGATCCCGAGACCAAGGTTCAGAATTCTCAATGGAAATTACCCAATTTTCCATATGCAAAAGAACTACATCAATCAAGATTCAACATAAAGGTGATGTTGGATGTTGTTTTTGATCTTAATGAAATTGTGCCAACTGAGTTAAGTACCCAAGACACTAGTGTGAATTCTGAATATTATAAGAGCAGCTTAGAGCATTTAACAATGTGCATAGAAAAGGGCCTGAGACATGGGCAACTGGTTTCACCCTCCCATCATGACAATGTTCCAAGTTACAGATTGCTTCTGGTATGGCAATTTCTGTCAAATAAAACATTATAATGTGCCCTCACTCACCTTATTCACCAGATCAGGTACTGTGCAACCTGTGGCTTTTCCCTACAGTCAAAATGATCATGAAAAGTAAATGTTTTCAATTGATTCAGGACATCTAGGCAGTGATGGGAATGCAACTAAACACACTCTATGAAAGAGGACTTTGAGAACTACTTTAGAAAGTGGCAAGAATAATGAGATAAGTGTGGTTAAAAGGAGGGGGAGTATTTTGAGGAGGATTGATAACAATATAGGTCTTTTATTATAATAAAAAATTTTAAAGATTCACTACATTGAATAGAATTAGAGGATGCAGGAAACTCCAGACACATTGACAAATGGGTCAAATGCTTTTGCCAGAGGAAAGATAGCCTCTTTAACAAATGGTGGTAGAAAAAATGGCTATCTACATGCAGAAGGATTGAACCTAGACCCATACATGCCCTAAAGTAAAATCAAAATGGATCAAAAATCACAATTTTAAAACAGAAACAATCTGCTGGAAGACAAAACAGGTAAAACTCTTTTTTTTTTTTTTTTTGGTACCGGGGATCAAACTCGGGTCCTTGTGCTTGCGCAGCAGGTGGCGAAACCACTGAGCTAAATCCCCGGCCCTAAAACAGGTAAAATTCTTGAAGACATAGTCATAGGCAAAGATTTTCTGAGAACTCCACATGCACAAGACATAACATCAAGAATCAACAGATGGGGACAGGGATGTAGTTCAGTTGCGCCATGTCTGCCTGGCAAGCGCAAAGTCCTGAGTTCGATCCCCAGTACCAAAAAAAAAAAAAAAAAAAGAACCAAATGGATTATATCAAATTAAAAAGCTTCTGCACAGCAAAAGACGTCACCAAGAGTGAAAAGACAACCTACATACTGGGGAAAAAATTGTGCCAGCTTTTCCTCTGACAAAGGATTAATATTTAGAATATATAAAGAACTCAAAAAATAAGACTGCAAATTTAAAGATCCAATTAAAATATGGACAACTGAAATTAACAGATACTTCTCAGTTGAAGAAGTACAAATGGCCAATAAATACATGAAAAAATGTTCAACATCACTGGCCATTCGAGAAATCCAAATTAAAACAAAACTGAGATTCCATCTCACTCCAGAAAGAATGGCTATTATCAAGAAATCAGTAACAACAAATACTAATGAGGCTGTGGGAAAAAGGAACCCTTCTTTTCATTGTTGGTAGAAGTATAGGATGATACAACTACTATGGAAATCAATATGAAAATTCCTCAAAAAAAGTATAAATACTAATTCCATTTGACCAAGCCATTCCTCTCCTAGGTGTCATCCAAAAAGAGTTAAAGACATCATATTACAGTGAAACATGCACACCTATGTTTATAGCAGCACAATTCACAACACCTAAATCTTGGAAATAGCCTATTATGTCCATCAACAGATGAGTGGATAAATAAAAAGTGGTATTTATACACAATGGAGTACCACTCAACCGTAAGGAGGGATGAACTTGAGTCATTTATAAGAGAATGGTTGTGCCGCCTTGAGGCCATAAGTGAAGTAAATCAAACACACAAGCTTAAACATCACACTGTTTCTTTTATATGAGAAATTCAGTATATATAAGTAAACTGCAAAATAAAAGAGAGACCGTAGGAAAAAAGTGTTAAACTGTAATCCTGCATGGTCAATATACCTAAAAGTGTACCTTGATTCAGTATAATTGTCTATATGTTTTATACATTTTTGGCCTGTTTCTATGATTGTTAATCTGTGTTTATGATAATTAACTTGACAAAAGACTTATAAAACAAATCTGATGCTGGGAAGAAAAAAAGATTTACCATTTTTTATCAAACTTTGTAAATAGAAATTGTTATTTTTTAATCTCATTTGCAAGAACAAGAAACACTAAACATCTCCAAATAAAGAAAATTTTAAGACCTACATAAATAAAACTATCAAACTTCATATTTAAAATTTTGATTAAATAAAGAGAACTACATTTTCCAATAGAAAGACTGATTATAAATACGTACATTCTTCCACAAACTAATTTAGGGATAAAGGGATATCATACTTAAAAGCTGTACTCAAATATTTCAGGAAATAAAACAAAATATATATATTAGTAGAAAGAAATTTATTTCAATAAAGCACCAACATACATTGCTTGATCAAGAAAAACCCCTCAATAACTATCAAGAGAGTAATGAATCAAATCAGGGTATATTCACTAAGTAAAATATAATGTACCAACAGAAAATGAGACAAACCCAACCTCTTTTTCTGTAGGAGGAGGAGGGAGAATGCATGATTTAATATAGTGGCAGAAAGTGAGAATCATATACTGGGATAAACTTTAGATTTAATATTGTGTTTGTGAGAGAGAGAGGGCTTGATTCAGTGATGATAAAATGTAGTAAAGCTCTGGAGCCTGAATGGATTCAAACTGTTGCCATCCCATCCAATTACTAACCCTATGACACTGTACCAGTTAATTTAAAACCCTTTTGTGCTTAGGTTTCTTTATCCAAATAATAAATAAAGTATCAATCTCACAGTAGAAATTATACAGACAAAATAAGACTTTTCATGTAAAAAAAAATCCATATAATAAAGATTTGATAAGTATTTGCTATTACCATTAACTATTAACTAACACCTCAAAGTCAAATGTGGGAGTGTCCAGGAGAAAAACCTAATGTATAGAGAAACGCTGTTATGAAAATAAAATATGGAATTTCTTAGTGAAGGGACAATTAAGGTTCAAGTAATTCAGAAAAGGAAAACCTGTACAGGTAGCTAGAAATTCAGAATATGGAATAACTGGAAAATTTCACAGAGGAAGAATTTGAGATGGTTCTTCATATACGCACATCGTTTAGATAGGAAAAGGAAAGTTGCTATGGTTTGGACCCCTAAAGATTCATGTGTTGGGAGCTTGGTACTTAATGGTGTTGGGAGATGGTGTGGAACTTTTAAGAGGTGCAGCTTAGTGGGAAGTAATTAGGTCACTGTGGATAGCGCCCTTAAAAGGAACTGACACATTTCTCATGGGACTCTCCGGCTGGTTCTCAGAGATAGTTTTATAAAAGATTAAGCCTACTCTCCTAGTCACTCTCTAGCTTCCTCCTGTATCACCACCTGCTATGTCCCTCTTGCTCATTCTCTAGCAATGGTGCCATATGTCCTGAGGTAACGTAGCCACAGGGGCCCTCACCAAAGATTACACCATGCTGTTTGGACTTTCAGTCTCCAAAAGAGTGAACTAAACAAACTTCTCTCTTTACAAATTACCCAAGAAGGAACAAGATGCCTAAGCAGAATTGGAAGATTATGCTGCTGGTATGAGAAGCAGTTGGAAGCAAGAGACAAATGTTAAGGCTTACTAATGTTTCAGACCAATGTAAAAAAGAAAGAGACACACCAACAGAAGAGTGAAGGGGAAAGAGGAAAATCAAGTTTGACAATGAGTGGATACTAAGAATGAGGGAATGGGCCAGGGATTTAGCTCAGTGGTTCCCCCGCCTGCCTTGCAAGCGCAAGGTCCCGAGTTCAATCCCCAGTACCAAAAAATAAAATAAAATGGAGAATGATTGTTAAAAAAAAAAAAAAAAAAAAAAAAGAATGAGGGAATGGAACAGTCTCAATGACATGTTAAGTGATAAGCCATTAGAAGGAAAAAGCAAATCCCAATATCTGGAAACCAAGATGAATGCTTTCCACTGGGGCTTAAAAGCTGTCAGTCAGGGTTAGATAAGAAACGGTGCCAATTTGAGATAATACTAAAACATTCAGGTATCAAGATCCAGTAGACATGTGGTAACATGAACCTAGTGGTTGGGAAAAAGGTGAGAATTGGAAATAAAATTTTTAGAATTAAAAAACAAATGTCTTCAGAATATTCTAGAGGAGATCGAAACTAGATTATGTGCTATTTCAGAACACTGGTCACACCTTACTTAACCACAACACAGAATGACATGGCAAGTTTACATACATAGGATCCCTTCAGGAAATAAAAATAAATGACAAAATTGAACCTTCGGGATTTCTAGTTTCTAGGGATAGAAGGAAAAAGAAAGAAGGAAAGATAGCAAAGAAAGTTATGGGGAAATATAATAGTACTGCATCACAGATAAAAGGATATTTTTCAAGAACAGAAATGCAGACAACTATCAAATACACATATGTCACAATCAGTATTACTCTCAAAACAAAAGGCACAATGCAGAGAAAGATGACTTTTTTTAAAGAATAAATTAAGAAATTTTAACTTTCCTTTCATAGGATTGTACATACGTGTATCACTCATAGCAGTGGTGGTAGCAAAAGTATTAATTTTAGTATATTTAATCTCTATAAAATATACATCCAGAAATAAGTCACTACAGTAGTTTAGTGGAACAAAAATGAACATAACACATGAAATCTAAAGCAAAAAAAAAAGCAACTGAAAAAAATAATCAATTAAGCAACAAAAAACATGAAATACCAGAAGTTTTACCTTAAACCTCTTGTCTTGCAATACTTTTTTGATGGCCACCAGTTCTCCCGAATCACAAAGCTTGGCTTGATATACTACACCAAATGATCCATTTCCAATCACTTTAGTGTCTGTATAGCTGACTTCTTGTGGCCTATCTGGACCCTGCCCAGGAGTTGCCACTACTGTGGTCACCTTGCTGCCATCCTTGTCTCCTAAAGGAAGGGATTGAAAAAAAGAAAATGAGCACTGTATAGAATAATACTGAGAAATTGTCAAGCTATACAAAATAAACTACTTCTGCTCCTTACTAAAAATTATTTTAAATGCTCAGCTCAATTTATCATATTTTAATTATATGTTTGAATTATAAGCAATTTTTAACCACTGTTTATTCAATCATCTTGTAAATTAGGAACCATGCTTAGTTTACATACACGGTATCATTTACTGAAAATAACCACCCCAAGAAGAAGCCATACCAGTGATGGTGAACCTTCTAGAGCTTTCACAGATACAAACAGCCTGCTGCAGCACACATGCCATAGGTTTGCCACCACTGAGCTATACAGGACTGTTCCTATATTAAAAGTAATGGGGAGGGCCGGGGATTTAGCTCAGTGGTTTTGCCGCCTGCTGTGCAAGCGCAAGGACCCGAGTTCGATCCTCAGTACCAAAAAAAAAAAAAGTAATGTGGAGAATGTTAAATCTGCCCAAAACCAAATTGCTAATGGTGGACCAGTCAGGGTTTGTTTGCCCTTATGTATAACACTAAAGGTCCTAGTTCTTTCTTCAAAAGGCCTCATTATATTTGAAAATAAAATATGTGCAAATAGTAACTTCGAAATACATCAACTCTAGATCATTCTGTCTTTAGGAACATAAGGTTTTCAGTTTTTGCTTCTTTATATATTTCTTTTTACAAATTAGTAATACTACCTCTCAGAGAACACTCTGATGGGGAAAACAATGTTAAGTTGGGGTTAATAAGTATAAACTTTTAAAATCAATCCAATTCTGAATTAAGCCCCATTTACAAGCAGCTTAGTGTATTAGTTCTCTCACAGTCTCTCTTTACCTTGTTTGCCTTCTTCTTATCCCTAGCAACAATCCAAAGATACTCTTCAATTCAAGCTCAAGAGCCATTTTGACTAGGCATAGTCCACAATCATCTTGTTTCTGAATTCTTAAAGCTATTTTGAACTGCACTAGGCTACCTAGACGCCTGATTTTAGAAAGCTTCAAATTGTTTTAGTAATTTCGGAATACACACAACTTCTATAGACTATAGTCATCTTGAAATAGCAATTGTGTCTCCTGATACTTCTCTCTTCCTTGGCAAATCTAATTCTCAATACAGATAATTCTCACAGCCGTTCTCACTACAAGTTCTTCAGGCTTACTGACTGAACTGTATTTTTTTTTCCTCTGTTATTCTTCCATTACATCAATTTTATGTTTAAAATGGTAACTGAATTAATACTAACCTAATGTATAAAAAATATGATACTTATGAATAAGCGTAACTACAATTTTTCAGGTCTGACTATAAATCCTAAGTTATTGTACTCATTTGTAAAATAAATCTTTTTCTGTATTTTAGCATTCTTTAAGACGTTACAATCTTTTGAATTTAAATGCTAAATGAAGAGATTCAAAAAGGTCCAATCCAGAAAGACTAAAATCCATAGTTTTCAACATATTCTTATACTCCAATTACCACAAATAAGATTAAAAAGCAGATGATTTCAAACATTTAATTTTCCCATAGGTAATCCAAGTTTAAACCAATCACTTACACACACAGACACACACACACACATACACACAAAATCAAGAACTGTGAATTAGTAATTCCACTAAACAAGCTGCTTGCAAAATCTCATTGGCTTAACTCACAAAACAAAGCATCAATATCTTAATTTGGGTAATTTTAAGAATGGATGCTGTGAAAACAAAAACCTGGCAGTACAATAAAAAATTATGCTTTTCTACTGTACAATGATATTTCAATAAAGAAAACAGGATCCATGGCTTTGTATTTGCTCCTATATGAGAACTTAAAAAATGTAAGCATTTGTGATGACTTTGCTCACTTATCTCAGCCTGCATTTCTAAAGACAACTTTTTATGTCTGAAGTTTGAGAACAAACTACGGAAGATAATACACACCACAGCTCCGGAATTCAGCATCTTTTCATTCTTTTTTTTTTTTTTTTTTGGTACCGGGGATTGAACTCGGGTCCTTGCGCTTGCACAGCAGGTGGTAAAACCACTGAGCTAAATACCTGGCAAGCATCTTTTCATTCTAACCACTAATCATGAGAAAGTCTATCCCAGAATTGTGACTTGCAAAGGAGAAAAAGCACAAAGGAAATAATTCTGCTAAAATATTAAAAACAGAGTAGAAAGATCTACTCAGACATCTCTGAGATTTTTTAATTTAAAAATGAGATTTCATGTGGACCAGGACCAATCCTTTCATCCTCTTGTATACCTAAGGGAAAAAGTACTTACTATCTTAGCAGGAATTGAAAGATTTAGTCTGTTTTCTCTCAAGCAGTTAGAGAAACTGCAAAGCTCTCTTCTAGGCTATCCTCTAATATGAAATGTCTAGGTATATCAGGAGCAATAGCTCTTGGGCTTTCTATAGACCTCAAGGATCCTACTTTTATTCCAAAATCAAGCTCTTCAATCAAACTGCTCTACAGAAGACCAGAAATATCAGAGCTGAAAAGAATGGCAAGGTAATGACTTGGTATGAATACTGTCAACACTGGCAGTCAGTAATTGGTGCCAAGGAAAAACATCATCATTTAGCATTATAATCAGTCAATTTAGCAATAAGATAACTGAAAAATTGTCATTGTTTATGGAGAACTTTCCCATTGTCCCACCTACTTTAACAATTATAAAAGCATATACATTATGTCTACTGTGTAAATGAAGGAGTAAGAAAGACTAACATATAAAACTTTAAACAACACTTTACATGGCTTTACTATATTTTAAAACTTTCCTACTAGTGCTGAAAGACTAACTCCATATCCTTTCTTATACTTCCCTAATAATACAAAAAGATAAGCTCCAGAGTAACAGGAAGGAAATAAATGAACAATCTTTACAATGAATGTATGTCCACTATTCACTCCTTAATAGCAAAAGAGCTATTTACAAATATACTTTGGCAAGGTTAGGTTTTCACACTTATCCCAAAGCAAAAGCATATGACAAAATTTTAAAACAACTGATTCTGGGACAGCCAAACAATTTATCCTGTGTCACTAGAAACTGGACTTTTTTGGACTACAACAGAGAAACACTGCTTCCAAGAGACCAAAACCCTCATGAAAACATACAAATCATAACAAATCTGTCTCATTAAATAAATAACCACTCTGCCCAATACTAAATTTCCCAGAAAGCATGGTATAGTGATTCTCATACTATTTATATGATTATATAGTATATAATAAAACATATGATTATATAGTGATTTATATCATTATAATAAAATTGGTCTTCAAAAAAAAACAATGCCACTGTCTCTCAGGTACAGCAGCAGAACAGAGGAAATTAGCTTACAGGCCTTCTCTGGCCAGAGAACTCCTGGAAATAGCTATTACATTCTTCCACTCCTGACTCCACAGATGGCCACTGTAAGCCTACTCTGTAAATCATATATATATATATAATAAATATATATATTATTTGTTCCTCTAGTGAATACTGTCTGATACAATACACGCAGCCTAGTTCCCAATCTCTTAAACACAGGGTTGTACCTCTAAGGAACATCTTCTAGTCACATTTTTGAGGTCTTCTGAAGTCAATCTTCTGATCAATTACTCTGAGATAAACAAATGTAACACGGTGACATGGACCACATCCAAAGAAAGAAGTGACCATCCAGGACTGGGAATTTAGCTCAATGGTTCTGCCACCTGCCTCGCAAGCGCAAGGTCCCAAGTTCGATCCTCAGTACCAAAAACAAAACAAAACAAAAAGAAGTGACCATCCAAATATCAAAAGGCCACTTCAAAGATATTTAAGTATTTTAGAGGTTCTGACACTGACATTCTAATTTTCTACTAATGACAAATCTCAAAGTGGAATATACATTGCTTAACAAAGCCATTAATTTGATACCTTCCTCCACAGTTTCTTGTGTGATTGAAGTACTACTGGGTATTCAACTCAGAACCGTCACACTGAGCTACAATCTGTAGCCCTTTTTACCTTTTTATTTTGAGACAGGGTCTTACTAAGAAAGCTGCCCAGGATGGGCTAGAATTTGGTGATCTTCAGGCCTCAGCCTCCCAGAGTGCTGGGAATACAGGCTTGAGCCAACACGGCTGACTGGCTTGATATTTCTTTTCTTAAAGACTATACAGTTCTTGCTGAGGATTTAGCTTCAGTGGCATGGCACCTGCCTCACAAGCACAAGGTCCTGAGTTCAATCCCCGGTACCAAAAAAAAAAAAAAAAAGGAAAGACTATAGTTCTTAAAATTCAGAGTTGAGAAAATGCAACAAGTAAAATACCTTTTAACAAATAAGGTTTTAAAGAATATTAATAAACCATACTACTGAAACAAACTGAGCGAAGTCAAGATGCAATCCAAGAATACTCCGGTGTCCTTGTTCTGGGGGGCTGCTTTACCTGAAGAATAGTCTTTGTGTATAAGTAACAGAAACTTAAAAGACCACGACAAAAGTCCAAAGAAACCAGCATCCTATTTATGACTATTTGGAAGATATAAAGCATTTCCACATTTTCTACCTAACACAAGTATTATTTCTCTATCATGTAAGAAACACAGCTATTTTCAGATAAGATTAAGGCTGTCAGAAAAGGAAACAATGACCGCTGTCAATTTTTCAGGTTCTTTAAATCAAAGTTTAAACAATTATTTATCCTAAGCACCTGTCTAGCAAGATATTCTCACTATATAGTAAATAAAACTGCTGAGGATTTAGCTCAGTGGAACTGCGCCTGCCTTGCAAGCACAAGGTCCTAAGTTTGATCCCTGGTACAAAAAACAAAAAGAAAAACAAAAAAACCTGCCAGAAGCATGAAAACATAAAAATTAATTAGCAAAGGAAATAAAATGGACCTGAGGCCCTAGAATTAAAGTCTAAACTGAAGTTATTCTCATCATGAAATAAATAGGGGCTCTGTTCTACACTGTGGAAGCTAGCCAGAGAGTCAAACTG